GGCATTAAAAAGTCTAAAGTCTTGAATTTAACTTGCCTTATGCTGTAGGAACCCTGCAGTGTTGTGCACTAGGAGAAGAGATGAAATAAAGCGCCGCTGTTTGCCTCTGCACAAGTTTTTTGTTTAAAGGCATTGTGAGTTAAGAGGTTATCAATATTAAAGTTAACTCGCTAATGGTCAGTGGCAGTGGAGCCTCAACCTTTGCACACTTCCACAGAATATGATCTGAATTACTCCCATGAACTGACTAATGAAGCCTATTGAGATAGTTACGTTTAGGGCAATTGTAAGAGCAGGAATTTGAATGAAAAATAAAATCCTTTGACCTTGTGCAATGCACCTTTAACGGTGATTAATCAGTGATCAGAACATTCATCAACTAATCTGATAATGAAATCAAGCCTGCACATGGGTTATACATAAACCAGGCTGTTGCTAATAGAATGACCTTCACATAGCAGTGAAGCAAAAACTAGGCAAATATTTCAGATGAAATGAAATCTGTAAATATGCTGCATGCTGAACTCAGTGGGGATCGTTTGACCTTCACTTGTTTCCCATTCTGTAAAAAATTAAAAAATCAGTGAAGCACCTTTTCTTACCTCATTATTTCATCTGCAAATTAAAAAAAGTAGTCACAAAAGAATGAAATATTACTAAAATAATAAATAATTGCAGCCCTAGTTTACACTGTGATTTGGTTCATATTTTCCTAAAAGTGAGATCTCTAATATCAGTCAATATCGTCCACATGTTAACAAATGAACTTCAGTTTGTGTTTTATTATAACTAAAAGTGTTTCGCCCTCCAGCAGGTCCTAGAGGCTAAAGGAACCAATATATTCCCAGCAAGGTGTTAAATGTTAAAAGTAATGTGTAAACTAACTTCTAAGGGGCTTTTCTGTTCTTTATAAAAAAAAAAAAAACAGAGATGGCAGCAGATTCACTTTAGGAATAGTTAACTTTTTGCTTCTGGTGAGAATCATAGTTTAACAGAGGTCAACGTGTTTTTAACACGGAGGCAGAAATAGACGGATGTCTAAAATGAGTCCATTCCTCTGACATAAAATCAGCTGTTTGATGTTTCAGCCTCGGCTTATTACCAGTTCATAAGGAATAAATATGGATCTGATGAGCTGCGTGTCGACTGAAGTTCACACATCAGAGTCACTTTAATGAGCTGCCCACACATGTCGTTGCTCTGAGTCAAGGGTTCGCTTTAACTGTCTTCATGCTACCACTTAAACGTGACTCATTAAGGCAGTTAATGAGAGCTCCTTCTTCATCATGTGCTTATGTGTTTCACATTTATTCTAAATCTTTTTGATTTCAGTCAGTTTCTTTTCTCCTTTGAGCCGTTTTCTGGTCGGTGAAGTCTCTAGAGTTTTCCCTTTAAATGTCAGACCACGCTTAGAGAGGCGATCTGGGATTTCTATGGGAGAATAACAGTAGCTGGGGAACAGTAATGTCTTCTTAGAAGGGTTGTTATAAGTTTTCAGTGAAAACAAAATCTTTGGCTCCTTAAAAAAACGCATACAGGCAAATACCAGCTTTCAGAGCTCATAGAAGTTGCTAACAAGACAGTCTGCTTCCCACCAGGATACAACCCCCTTTCCAAAGGGACAATAAACTGTAAAAAATACCTCAGGAAAAAAGACACTCTAACATGCTTCCAAACATGAGAGATGAGAGAAAATAGGAACCTTTCTAAATAGGACCTTTTGCTCCCCGTCCTCCAGCATTTAGCTCTGGACCAAAGATCTGCAACCTTTACAAGCCAAGGAGCCATTTCTGCTCTCAGTGTTGCTCAAAAATTCCTTTCAGAGCCACAAAAGGTCAATGAATGATGTTTTGTAAAAAGAACAACTCATGATCTCCTCTGTAATATTTAACACTAGAACTCCTGAGGCGTTCATTTTGAAGGTTCAGAGTTTTTGAAGTGAAAGAACTTTATTTTCATTAATCTTATTTTAGTCTTGTTAACTGACGTTTTCTGTTTCTATATTTGCTTCATTTTCACATTGTTTTTTAAAATAAAATAAAAACCTAAAAATCAAATATGGTTAATTTTAGCTCGATCTCCCGCAGTCGTCATTTTGACGGCTCTATTAGTTGCATCGTAAATTCTTCCTGTGGTTGATTGATGTTCTATACTGTTGCCTAGCAACCAGCATTTTATCTAGAAAACCTCCGAAACCATTGGCTTTCAGAAGAAATCTAACTGAGAAACCTTCAATATATTGATGATGGCGATTCGTGCGTAGACCGATGAGGAAGCGGCTCAGAGTCTGATAGCGAGTCCGAAGATGATCAACCATCCCCAGGAAAACGCAGACTTATCAGTGACCCATTCTGTTCAAGGTTTGGCACCTCGGCCAATACACTCAGAGGCC